GCTCCGGGACACGGCATCACAATATGGTAAGGGGAGTAACATTTCCGTCACACGCTTGAGGCATTCGGCCAATCACAATGCTGCACTGGATAGCTGGCCAATCACAGCACACCTCGGTTTTTCAGACCGATGAGCTTTGTAAAAATCGACGGTTTCAGAAAGGCGGGGCATAGAGAAGAAACAATAATGTACAGTATGTGGAAAATAATGTGTTTTTTGAACCTTAAACCGCATAAACACATTTCATTACACCAAATACACAAAATAATGTTCTTTTTAGCAGCATCATATGACCCCTTTAAAAATATTATTTATTCCGGTAATGCAAAGCTGAATTTTCAGCATCATTACTAGTGTCATAAGTGTCATATAATCTTTCAATCCATTCTAATATGTTGATTTGCTGCTCAAGAAACATTTATTATTATTATTAATATTATCAATGTTGGAAACCAGAATACAGTTTTTCAGGATTCTTTGATGAATAGAAAGTTTAAAAGAACAACATTTATTTGAAATAGAAATGGTTTGTCTTCACCTTTGATCAATTTAATGCATCTTTGCTGGATAAAATTATTTTCTTTTTTTCTCTTGCTGAATAAAATACCCCAAAACTTTTGAACGGTATTGTCATTTTTTTAGATTAGTAATATATATGTCATAGTTAACTAAGTCATAGTAATCGTCTAGCTAGTTGATATAGTCAACTATCCTGCCCATCCTTACTGTAGATCCCTGCTTTGCATCATCTTGTCTCCTTCAAGAGACCATGACCAAACACTGTCTAGGCTGGCAGACCGAAGCATTCCTGAATGGGTGCAAAAGGTAGCTGACATCATAGCTTGCTGTAAAGCGTGCCATTTAGGGATGCGTTCTAACACCTGCAGCCCACGGCTCACATACATGAGCAAGCACGCATGCAAAGGTAAGTGTCCATCCACTCCACCGCACAGTGTACCTCTCAATGACCCCAGTTATTAATTCTACCTCCCTCACACAAACAACAAGACATCTTGGCTGACCATGCATCTGGATGAAGAGTGTTGTGGGAGTACAACCAAATGCGCTTGACACTTTCAGAGAAGTAAACCCACCCACCGCCCAGCAGATGAAAAGAGGGCTGCTTCACACCCCTCATATCCCCGCTGGAATGTACAGCGAATTCTCAGAATCGGCTGAGTGATGTCACATGATTGCATTTTCTGAGCTTTGTGTGTGTGTGCGTGCTGTGAAGGTTTAGGTAACGAGTAGTAAATGAAGATGAGGACTGAGCGCTCTGCAGTTAAATCAGGTCGTGCTACAATAGATTTTTCACTTCTGTGTTTTAGCTGCAGGGATTTAGAAAATAGAAAGCAGACTTAGAGGAAGAACAAGTATTTACAGTCAAAAATGTAAGGTTCTGCATTTTTTTTAAGGAGAAATGATGCATAAAAATAACGCAAACAAAAATAAATAAATGTAAAAATAAAATAAAAAAATTATATTATTAATTAAAATCTAAAATCTAGTAGTGCATGTAAAAATATACGAGTGATTTTTTTCAAGTGAGATTTAAAAAGAAAGAAAATTATTCACTGCATGTATTAAAAAAAGACTAAAACAGCAAATAACTGTAAATGATTTAACATTGCATTATATTTACTGTAAAATACTGTCAAATTTTGGGGTTTTGGAAGTAAAAACTATGAATTGCCATATAATTTATATTATATTAAGTCCCTGTGCTACACATCACATACAATTATATTTCATTTACCTTTACTTTAGTTTATTTTATAGTTTATTTAATTTTAGTTTAGAAATATAATCAGCCAGTTTATTAATATAAGTAGTTTTAATTTTTCAGTATGTACATTAGGTGTTTTGTTTTACATTTTCTTAAATTTTTTATGTTTACTGCATTATTTTTGCATCATGCGTGTTAACCAGAATGTCATCAATTTTTTTTACAGTGAATTTTTGGCAACAACTGCCAGATTTTTACTGTAATTTTAACAGGATATTTTTTACACTGTGAAATGACATGAAGGTGAGTAAATGTTTGTGCCTTCCAATATTGTACAGTGTTTTTACTCCGCAGCCTTCTTTCTGCCAATTACAACAGGCAGAAATAGTAATGGTCATCCCGGTACAAAGATCAAAGTGTGCCTTATTAAATATTCAAATAAAAATATTTAATATTCCATTAAAAATGTCAAATTAATAAATGGATACTCAACCATGTGAGTGCGTAATTAAAGTTTGTCTAGCTTGAAAGTGTGGGTGTTGCAGAAGGACGACGAGCAATTTTATTCAACACTGCCTTGACCCGATTCAGTCTCTCATTCTCCCACAGCAGCAGCATTTATTCTTACCTGCTTTTCACCACCTACAAGCAACAGGGCAAACGATGACCTGCAATACTTTCCTGAAGTTGCGAAACACCAACACACAACGTCTCAATTAAACCTCCGGCACATAGGACTATCTGTATTAGTCTTCCTGACAGCACCTCAGCTGGCCTGACCCCTGGGACGGCATGTTCTCTCAGCGCTGCTTTGTAAAGTCATCAACAGGAAAGATCACTCTGGGTGTTTGCGTACCGCGTGCATGGATTATCGCTAGGCAGTCTTGAACTGAGACAAACAAATTCTCCTGGTTACACAAATTATTCATGCATGGTTTGCATAGCACAATTTGGTTATACATCACTTTGCTGGTGAACATTATATTTTGGGGTGTAGGCTACATCATGTTTTGATAATGCTGAATAGTGATATTGTAGGTTATTGGGGTCAGATCAATATTTTTATAAAACTGATAACTGAAAACTGATAACATTACAAATCTGTGGAATGAAATATCTGGACTGAAGAGAACATGAGAGATCAAAGTTGACAACTGTATGAGAAAATTGGATGGGTTATGTAATCCTCTCATGTCCAGCTGGACAGTCCAGACCGTGTTGGAGAGTAAAGCGCTCTCTAGTGTCTTCAGGCAGAGAGGCATGCTTTTCTCAGCTGTCTCATATGACGTCTGCGAACTTCAGCAGAAAGCACAGGCACATTGCCATCCTCTTACAAGTCCTACATGGACCTGATCCAACGGTAACGTAGCCTTCCTGGTGTTTTTGGTTGTTTAGGCAATAAAAAGAAGTCGGATGTCACTTCCCAGCAACATCATTTGTGCATAGGTATATTGCAAAATAAGCCAATGTGTCATAATATGAGACTAAACTTCAGGCAAATAAAAACAACATGGTCATGCTTTTCCATTTTTTTCCTTGACACAAAATTAATGGGATTAATGTTTGAAAACCTCAAAACATGCTGCTCTTTCTAAACACATACAACACAAATGAGGTTAAAATGCAAATTAAGACGTTTTTGATTACATTTAGTAAATATTACACTACAATACATTGGTTTTCTTCTCAAAGATCATTGGTCATTAACAAGTCAATAAGAGTAAGCAACTTTCACATCAGCTTTCTCTAGTTTAAAAACTATTTACCACTTTTCAGTTGTTAGTTCATTACTTAACTGACTCTCTACCCTGGGTTGTTTTTATTTTTAATATAAATATATAAAATATAAACGTTAAAACTGACAAGCTACAGTGTTTAAATGTAAAGATACACTGTGTTCTTCACACACTCTGTTTATGCTGATAGGATGTTCACAACCCATCCAGGCACCCTTATAACACTGAAAATTACACAAAATGTATAAACACACACACACACATACATATAGCCTATATATGTGTGTATGAATGTATATTCATTAAACATATATACACTACACACCCCTGTCCCGTAATCGCAAAAAAAAATAAATAAATAAATAAGCATTTTGTAAACAAACAAGGGGTGGAAAATCTACTAAAAAGATGCGTTTGTTTGACTGAGAGGTGAATATCATTGGTTTGTTTTTCATCCGGGCATTACACGCACGTCTGAGTTTAACCTGTCTGATGTTGCAGTTTTACTTAACTGTCAGAAATAAGCCACTCTTCGAGCGGTAAACTGTTAAAAAGTGTCAAACATGAATCTGATTGATTTAGCGAACTCTCCCATCACTGCTGACGAAACACAGCGGGTTAATTGCTACTTTAAAAACAACTTTAAACTCAATATAGGGAGGTATTGACTAACCTACTCACCAGAGGACCAGTTCTTGGCACTGAGACAGCTCTACGGAGGCATCGGGTTCTGCTGTATTTCCATTGACATTTCTCCTCCTATACTTTGACAAAAGCTCCCAAATCGGTAGCTAGACTACCAGGATCTCGTGTGAAATGAATAAAGTAAAAATGCGTTCGATCAAGGTGCCGATATGTGGCGAAAACACAGTTGCATATGGTATATTCGTCTCTGGTCCGTCAAAGCTTGTTCTGGAAAGGGGAGGACGCTGATGATCTTACTACGAATCGAGTGGTGCTGAACTCTACAGTGTGTACACACGTCACGTGACCCTCCCCCACAGTCCTCTTCAAGAGGCCCGACTGCAAAATTTCGATTCCTACTACGGTAAACCATAGTTATTAATATTCATATCGCAAACTTTCGCTATTGGACGGTAACACGGCTAAGGCGCGCGTATCTAATTAATATGCATTAGGCAGGCGTTCGCTATTGGAAGGTCACCGAACAACGCCTGCGTAGGGTAATTAGTATGCATGAGCCAAGTCTTTGCCAATGGAAGGTTACCAAGTCACGTGAGCGCGGCATACTTAATATTCATAAGCTTAGCCCGAGCCATAGTAGCGTTCGTAATTTCGCTTAGTTCGCAGTCATTGGACGAGTGTGGCGGAGGGAGGGGTGACATACAGCAATTTTCAATAGCACACTGTTCACTCACTATCGCGTTCAAAAGCACGCCACAAAAGCAGCTTTGAGTCTCCAGGTCAGAGGATTACGGATAACGCAGCATTATTTAGTCCATCTTTCACCGGTAGTCTGGATCAGTGGTTCCCAACCCTGGTCCTGGAGGCACCCCAACACTGCACGTTTTGCATGTCTCCTTAATCAAACACACCTGATTCAGGTCATCAGCTCATTAGTAGAGACTCCAAGACCTGCAACTGGTGTGTCAGAGAAAGGAGACATGCAAAACGTGCAGTGTTGGGGTGCCTCCAGGACCAGGGTTGGGAACCACTGGTCTGAATGAGAAAATTAACCTACTTGCAGTTGATTTTATTTTCATAGACAATAAACTCAGGTCGGTTTGGTAGAAAAGCCTCAAGAAAACAACTATATCAGATTATAGAGACATAGAATATGACTGTTAGCAAACTAAATTCAATATGATGCATATTATTTTGAATGATTTAGTATAGTTTAGTTAGTTTAGGTTTTATTAATACCCCAATATTCAGAATATTGCTTAGTCAAAAGCCTATGGGCTTAGCTGATTTGTAAAGGTGCATTCTGTAGTTTTTTTGCAAACGAAAAGAAATTGAACAGGGGCCAGTTCAAGCTCAAACCGGTGTGCACCGTTTTGCTACGGTTTGTTTCCTGGAAACGGTGTGCAACGGGGTTTGATATAGATCATAACACAGTCTTGGAGGTAAGAAGTGGATTATCCTTCACCTGAAATGTTTGTCTTTTCATCCTGAAATGCGAGGCAAATGTTGGATCACAATAATTAGGAACCACAGTTTCCACAAATCCCTTCATTTGATTGGGATGTTCTCTTTTATTCTGGAGGGCAAGGGCAATGACTGTACCATTGAGCGTATTTTGCAGTATTAAACACGTATTTATACCGATTTCATCAGGCTCCGAAAATTCTTCAAAAAGAACACAAAGAATGGCCTTCTCAGCTGCCATAGTTGCAGCTCTTGCGTCATCAGAACAGTGTGTTCAACGCACCACCGTTTCCGTTTAAAAAACGTTTTGCACCGTTTTTGTTGGGGCTGAACGCAACCCAGCACTTTTACGTACAGCACTTCTACATAGAGTATTGCTCTAGTGAGATCTATTACTGATATAATACTATGGCTGGATCCAAAATCGCATACTCTCTGAGTAGGTGCTTGTTTTGAATAAGTATTTACTATATGATTGTTAGAAAAGTTTTATTTTTTTGTATAAATTCAGTCACATTCATCATGTTGTCACAGTCATGTGACCTGTCAGCCATTCACAACTTCTCTCTGGTGGCCTTATGGGATAGTAAAGTGTACATCAGATGTGCACCTCATAATCTTACCGGAGGTAGATACCTTTTGCCGACTCTTTTATGAATAATGTGAATTCGACATACCCTTTTCGCTGTTATTCACTTGCTATAAAGTTTGGAAGTATCTATATTTGGATGCAGCCAAACTTTACTTTATAGGCACTTTAAACTAGTGCTGAAGTCGCTTTACAGGTTATAACACTAAAGTACGTTCATTTGCAAAAACAGAAAACTCAGTTTTTAACAATTTTCAAAAATCATGTTTTTTCAATATGCATTCCAATTAATCTCAATCAAACTGCAGTTGGGTTATTTTGATTAGGTTAAAAATAACTAAAAAAGACAGCTAACTAACACAATAAAACACAATAAAAACATGATAACACGATAAAAAACATGATTTAAGAAAATTTATAAAAACGGAGTTATCTGTTTTTGCAAATAAACTCTTCACACACACACACACACAAACATATATACACACTCTAAAAAATGCTGGGTTAAATACAACCCAGCGCTGGGGATTTAAAAAAAAAAAAAAAATGGAGTTATTCTGTTTTTGCAAATAAACTCTTCATATACACAAAACAAGCACGCCAACTAAATATAACAAACACAACATAATTCCAGATACAAAACCAGAGCCTCCCATCCCACAAAATGAGGATAAATGCAGACAAAAAATGCAAGTTTTAGTCTTTGGCAAAGGCCCCCAATGCATGCTTTAATCAGCATTTGAGACCACTGGTCATTCATTCGTGTGTTCATTATCCTATATGGTAGATCCATTCCCTATTTCACCTCATTTCCAAGGGAACTGGAGGGTAGTCTTTTGCAGTTCTGCTTTCCTGAACTTTTCATAGTAAGTCTCTCTCATAATGTGACTAGTCTGCAAAGAAGCTTAAAGATTATGAGAAGTGAAACCCACTCTAAGTACATCCCTGTTTATGACCCACATTTTGAAATCCTGACCCACAGAGCGTCGGAGAGACGTTTTATAACAGCCTGTAATTACCCTAATGTTTGTTCTTGGAGCACAACTACTTTATTTTTAGAATACAAACTTATGGCATTTACTTAACAATCAGTGCGCATTTATGAATACTTAGAATTTAGTTGTACGCTGACAGTTACCTCATATAGAGTTGTAACCCACCAGTTATAAATTTAAAAGAACTTATAACAAGATATGAATTTGCGTATTAAGTATACAGTATACTGTATACTGAAATATACAGGATAAATGCATTTTTATTGCTTTCTTTGAGTCTTATGGAGAAAACCTCTTTGGAGATGACTCAGCAGCTCTGTGGAGCCTCTGGGAAGAGATTATCCTGCGGGATGAGTGTTGTGGTTATGCGATGACCACTGTTAACTACTTCCGTGTCCACTAATGGTGACCACTTTATCGTTTTTTCAAAACCACGTGGACTTCTGGGTCCTCCCCAGTAGCAGCAGTATTTGCGACGTTAGGAATACAGATAAAGAATGAAGCATAGCTGTGTAATCCTTTTCCATTTAAAAACCATAGAGGTGTAGAGACATGCCTACATTTGTTTGCAGTACTTACAGGCCCGTACCTTCTACTTCAGACCCTCGTGCAGCAGAAATATTACAGGTCTGTGCCTCCGTTTCCTCCGAACAATTGACCTAATCTCTTTTAATGTGACCTGAATTTGGTTCAATACTTTTTGATGTGGATTTTTATAATAGTGATTGGCAAATCACATGGGTCGTAATCCTGGCTGCCTTTTCTGAACTGTGTCGCATTCACATTTATCCAAAGTAATAGATGACACGACACGTAGTTTCATTCGAGCTGCCGGTGAGGTATTAAAGAATTAGTATTTTGTATTTAATCCTCAATGAATATGTGCTGGTGGGACACGGCCTGCAACATATATATATATATTACATTTAAAAAGTTTTATTTTTCTTTTCCCCAATATACAAGAGACTTGCAATAAAGAAATAATGTTTAGTTTTTCTAATGTCCATGATCTGACCCACACTTTTCATGGTTTTAACTGGAAGCCGCCCTCTTCTGATAATAATTTGTCATTGAGTGTCAGTTCATTTATGGGAAACTGACTCATATGTTTACAGGTTTTCTGCATTTTGCTTTGCCTTTGAAGGACATGATGTTTTTATCTGATCTTAGATGCTGGGTGGGAATAGCTAAATGCATAGACTAAAGCCTTATCTTTACAGGAGTCAGGGAAGTAAGAAATGAAGGTCTGTCTGCAGAAGCTGAATGGAGAACAAACCTCTGTTTTCGAAGTAGATTTATACATTTTCTGATGAAAGTTAAACTGTTTCATTCTCATGACTTGCTGCCATGATGCTAGGGTTGATATGCAGTTGCTAAGCTGGTTTTAGGTGGTTTCTAGGGTCTCTATAACATTCTAGTCCCTAGATATACTATACATTCAAAAGTGTTTTTTTTTTATATGTTTTTGAACGTTTTTTATGCTCACCAAGGCTACATTTATTTGATCTAAAAATAACAGCAACATTGTGAAGTATTATTTTAATGTAATTGACTGTTTTCTGTTTAAATATATATTTAAATATAATTTATTCCTGTGATGGTAAAGCTGAATGTTCAGCATCATTACTTAAGTCTTCAGTGTCACATGATCCTTCAAAAATCATTATAATATGCTGATTTGATTATCATAAACCTGTATTATTATTATTATTATTATTATTAT